TAAAAAAAAAAAATATATATATATATATGTATATGTAGCAAGCAAGAACTTTCCAAACAGCTGTAACCGACTGCAACATGCTCGCTCGACGGCCCAGTGAAGCCGTAGAGCAGTCAGAGGCAGAGACTGGAAAAGATTTGGGTCAAAGACATGTGAGTGGTTTTATAGATGTTATAGAAGTGTTATACATATGCCGTGAATATTTCATACGCATGTTATATAAATGTTATACATATGTTATATATGCTTGCCCTCTATGTATGTGTGCTATATCTGAACAACTTATAGACTCTTTCCGCTTCAACAGCTGATGAATGGAGCTGATAAAGACTGTGAATAATATTTGCCAGCTAGAACTTGATGGCTAATCGTATGACAGTAGCTACATTCTATACACACATATATAGGGGTGGTATATACACAGACTTATCTTACATACCGGGACAGAAATGGGAAGTAGATTACGTTGTTCATTCAGGCAAAGTGACGTTAAAAATAAAGCTTATCTGAAAAATTTAAAAGTTAAAACAAAGAAGGGCTATAAACAAGTACATATTTATATATATAGGAATATAGAAGCACATGCACATATATATATAATATTGGGTAAACATTATAAAATTGCATTTTGGAAATAACCAAAAATTTCTGCACGCGTTCCAGCTATATGTAGTTTAATTTTAGAACATTTTGTTCAGCTTTTAATTAACGTAGTCACAAAATTTCAGTTTATTTTGCTAGTTTGTTGTTGTTTTATTTTTCTTTTATGGTATATGAAAAACAACAAATTTATTAGGCATTATTTTTTAGAGCTCAGCTAATTGTGGCTGTAAGCCGAAATGTTCTTAGCCTGAACTTTGACTTGACTTTGAAGCTGGTTGAGAGAGAGCATTAGCTCATATTGAAGAGATTTTTGTCTCACACTCCGCCTCCCCCTCTCTCTTAATCACTCAATCTGTTGTTTGGCTAATTCCCAGTTGATGCTGCTGTTGTGCTCTGTTCTATACTTAGACAGCTAACATCATCTTCAAACACATCTCTGTGTATGTGTGTGTGTGCGTGTGTGTTTAATAATAATTGGCATAACAATGAGCGGCTTTCGCTGAATTTCTTATTGACGTCACTGGAGCTGCGCATAGGAAAAAACCCAAA